TTCCCCTTACGCACAGAAATCGCTGGCAGACACAAACCAGGTGGTTTTGCCAACTTGCTGATGTGCATGCGTGAGGGTCAAAATAGAATTTGTAATTGTCTTTTGACATCTAGCCTATTGTGGCTATGTTATGCTGTGCATAGTAATGCACTGACTCTGCATAGCAATATGTTGACTAACCACAGTCATCTGGTAAAAAGATTGCAGCCTTCCATCTCCAGAAGACACACCGATGTGCAACTAATACTTAAAATAACAGAGATAGACAGTAGCTCTCTCAGCAAACCTTCGGCAGCAGAACCCTTACAACCTGCTAAGCAATTCAGTATAGATGACTTAAATAGCTACAGCACGTGCTGTATAGCCTAATAAAATGGCCTCAGTGTAGTAGTTGATAAATATTTCTTACCATCACAAATCCACAAAGAAGGTGAGAGCAGATTACCAGGTCGGGATGGAGGTTGAGCTGAAGAGAGGGGCATGTTCTCAGTGCTGAGCTATGCATGGCGTAAGATTTCAATGTGAAGAGAGCGATTGCAGTTGCAGCGTGAGTTTTTGTTGGCTGACTCTATACTTTCCTAGAATAGGTGGATTATTCTGAAGCAGCAAACTGAAAAGGTTGCATGTTATTAAGCTTTCAGAGACCTGGAACAGAATTTTTGTGATGTGATATAAAGCTAACGTGCCATGGTATACATGCACACCAGTTCAAAGGCGCAGTTGTGGGATGGGTGCTTTCTTCCCCCAAAGGCCATCTTGGTGACCGTGAGAGCTGAAAGCTTCTGTTGCTACAGTGTCAGCCACACTGAAAGGTTTGTATCTCTCTGGGTGAACTGCACACTGAAGAATTGCCCCTGCTAGACTCCATTTGCTTTTTCTGGGATTCTGGTGTAACTTGAGATATTCAGGGAAAAAAGATCCTGTTCATGCAATGCTATCACATACCGAGCTTTTGGGCTGGGCCTTCAGCAAGGAGAAATCATCTCAAGTTGCACTGTTAAAAAGGCTATTGTCCCTGTACTTGTCCTTGGCTATTTAGATGGTTCCAATGTTGCTTTAGCACCTAATTCAGGATCTTCTTTTCCTTAATTTCCTCTCACTTTTCATTCTCAACATCGGCCTTCCGCACCTTTCCATTAACAATGTCTGAGATGCCCACCTTAGTTTCTTGCCCTGTGCCTGTGCACAAACTAGCTTCTCTTTCCTCCGTCAGACTTTTCCTTGAGATCTTTCCTTGCTGTGGGGAATAGAGACCCACGTCTGTCTCTCCGCTGTGCACTAACAAGAGTGGTATATGTTAGAAAGCTGTCTCCAAGAGCTGCTTCTGCGTGTTTGAAGGCACGGTCATGCTCTGTGTCTGCACATTGGACAGACATGAATTGTTTTGTGTCCAAGTTTGAGAACAAGCTCTTTGTTCTTCTAGCAAGAAGGCTTTGAGAAGGGGGAGCACTAGCTCTTCCCAGGTGGGAATGGCCTGCCACTCATAAACTAATGATAAACTTACAAAGCAACACATATTTTGCCAACTGCTGTTCTGAAAGGGAGGATGCAGCTCCAGCCAGTAAGGGTTAAAAAGCCTTCCTGGCTTATTGCTTTTCAGTCTGTGTAGATGGATTTGATGCCACTTTGGTAATCTTCCCCCCCTCCCTCCTCTGGAGAATTAAAATACATGTACCCACATAATGCAGGCAGGCACACAAGCTGACCAGGAACACATGCCGACTCTCAACACTACTAAACCACATATGCTGCTGCTACTCTGCTTGCAGGAGGGAAAGCAATTACCAGGCTTGGAGTCAGCTTAATAGGAAGGGGGCAAGACTTGTAATAGTATTTTTCTGCGTGAGCACAAACACCCCCAAAAGCTGTGGCTGAGTTATAGGAATACAGTAAGCTTGCTGAGTAGGCAAGTGCTGTGTCAACAGGTAAAAGCTCTCAGTCCTGATAGTTTGTGAGCAGGGAAGGCGATACATCAACCTGGACCTCACACAGGTAACTCCTGCATTACTGTGAGGTGGGGAGAGCAGCTGAGTCCTCAGAGGGAGCTGGAAGGAGGACAGTTGCTGGCTAGCAAGAAGGCTTTGAGAAGGGGGAGCACTAGCTCTTCTGGGTTGACTTTTCAAAAGCCCCCATTTCAGCTTAACGTGTATCTCTCAGCCTGTGAATCAACTGATTTTCAGTGTGAGTTGGGCCTTCGATGCTTTTGAAATTGATGCTAATTTTGAAATCAGCCCCTTAATCTCTCGGGCAGGCTGCGGTACAGTAGGTGCCGAGCTCTGGGCGTGTGCATAGTCCCAACTGACTTCTCTGCCTGCTCTGGCATTAACCACAGTCGTTACCTTTCCTAAAGACAAAAATCCAGTGGCTTTCAATGGGACTCCTCGTGCGCTTGAAATGATGCAGCCTGCTGAATCGGGAGGCTAATCACTTAGGCCTTAATCCTGCAAATGTTTAGCCGTGTGCTTTAGCTCTGTTACTGGAATAGTCCCGCTGACTTTGGTGGATGACATGTACTAGTAGTGCTAAGCACTTGCGTAAGGCCTGGCAGGACCATAGCTCTGGTCCTTCTCGGTTTCCCATCCATGAAATGAGTTTAATATCCTGCCGTGGTCCCTTTCTCTGGAAAGGTTTGGGTTTGGGGTCACTTATTTGTTCAACCAAACATATTTACTTGATTTTCTTATTGTAACTAAGGAGCTATAAGACTTTGAAGGAGAAGACTCCCCATGGTCTCTGCTTTGACAAGCCCTCAATCAAATTGGTGAAAAATATGCCCATTCTAAAACAATAAATAGCACAGATTACACAGAAAAATACCTTTCCAGTTCCACAGCTCAGCCTTCCCATGTCAAGTGTCAGCCGAGAGCAAGTATTTCCAGTTCAGCAGCTCAGCCACTTATATAAGGAAGGGACTGTAAAAGAATAGCTAGACCTTATCACTTGTCAGAAAACTCTTCAGTGACTTGATTTTTCTTTATAAAATGTAATAACTGTCAGAGGTAGAGAATATATATCTCTTCCCAACTGGCAGCCAAGGGTAGCTGCAAAGGGCAAGCAGTGTGGATACTCATAAATGTGTGATTACAGGCATTTCTGCTGAAGGAGAGAGGAATATTGATGCAATATTCGTCATTTTTATTGGCTTAATATTCTTCTTTCGTAGCACCATATCCAAACTGATACATCTTTCTTCACATACAGTAGTTGTCCATCTAAGATACTCTGTTGCTCTTCCCATTTCTAATCCAATGCTCTCCAGCTCCTTGTGGAAAGCCAGAATACGAGGGTTCGCTGTCGTACACCTTTCCTGTCGAAAAGATCCCTGCCCCTGCAAGGATTGCTTTCAGCTTCCAGATTGCTGTGCAATAGCTTCCCCTCCTTCACTGTCATCTGCCCTGTTTCAGGTGTCAATGCTTTAGGATAGCAGGGGCCTCTCGAGATGTATTTTTCACTGTGCGTAGAACAACATGGTCTTGTGTCCTCTTCAGGGCACGCCAGGACCCTGTGATGATAGCCCAGGGAAAGTCTGTGTGATGTTAACTTGTTCGTGAATGCAGCACCCCAAGGCGTTCTTTAATGGAGGAGATGATAGCTTTTCAGTTACAAGTCTTGGGAGCGAGGTGGTGAGTTGCAGCTTGTGAATGTTGACAGAGAGGCTTTGGGACAGACAAGTTGAAGGGAACCCACCAGTGCTCCTTTAGCACTGTGAAAAATAAATAAGGCAAGCAATGTCCTTGGAAGGCAACTGTTCTCAGTATCTGCTCCACCTTGCCCTGGGTAAGAAGGGATGCTGAGGCTAGGGAGCAAATGGCTCCATCACAGACTAAGACCGGATTAATCAGCTGTTCCCTGGACTGGACCGGCCAGAGCGAGAGAACGGAGAGGAGACTCCATGGGAAAGGGATCTCTCTCCTTTTAAAGTGCACACTCAAGAAGTTAAGAGATGGATTCTTTTTTCTCCATGGCATTTTTGTTCCTGTTGGGGCTGTTTCCACCATTAAGCCTAATTACTTAGCTTTTTATGTGCTATCCATTTCTTTTCATCATTTTAAAAACTTCAGTTGCCATAACAACATAATGCAATCAGTGAAACATAGCAGCTATTTTCTGTAGTCAAGGTCTGTGCACTGTCAAGGATGTGAGCCATTTAAGCATATCTTCACCATCCCCCTTCCTCCGTCCTCTTTCTCATGCTCTCTTTTTCTCCCTAAACAAGCTCATAACAGGAAGGAGAAACCATCAGGAATAATTAGGCACAATAGCAGAGCAAATCCCAATCGTACTCATGCAGTCTAGTCTAATGAACTTCTAGCACTAATCTTGGAAGTGTTGATGTTCCTTTTTAATCACTTTTTTGATGTCATAGAAAGATTAGCTGCAGCAGGACCTTGATAATCCACGCTAGAGTCAGGAGACCCAGTGCTTATTCAGAGAAAGAAAAGAAAACCAAAAGCTTTACATACTCCGCTCATTTTTTCTTTGTTCCTCAGTTTCAAATGCTTATTGAGGATATATGCCCATTGTACCGTATTAGTAAATAGAACGGAGTGTATTTTGTAGATTCATGGGATTTAATCATGAAAAGTCATAGCATCTATTATTAAATCATCGCTGGAGGGCTGGGAGAAACCGCCACGTTTTTGTGTGGGTGGTGAGACTTGCAACAAAGCATAGTATAACTGCTGGGCTTCTACTGCACACATATATAAAAAGCAGTCTGAAAATAAACCTGGCAGTCTGGTTCAGTGCTATTCTAAGCAGTGTGAATATAAGATCTATCCACAATGTCTTACTCACTCCTTGACCTCCATGAAGGCTTTCCTGGAATAGCAACGAGTGAGTTTCCAAGCCCGGGATTTGGCTTAAGCAGCTTCTATCTGGCGGAGGACTGAAGGGTGTGCTTTGCCTTTACGGAGCGAGTCTGCCGCGGGCAGTCTTCTGGTGGCTTCCGAGTCGATCGTTGCCCATTCACTCTCTCCACTTGTGTGCTTGTGTTTCAGCACTTTGTCCAAGCAAAGGAAGAACGTCATCAGCTGCGTCACCGTGCATGACTCCCCCTACTCCGATTCCTCCAGCAACAACAGCCCTTACGCCGTGCAGCATCGCGCAGGGCAGAATAACGGGAACACTTACGACACCAAAGGGGTTCCAGAGACTCACTGCAGTGGGAACCCCCGAACGATCATCGTGCCACCACTGAAAACCCAGGCCAGTGAGGTGTTGGTAGAGTGCGATAGCCTGGCACCAGGTAAATTGCACCTCTTCCGTCAAGAAAATTAGTAAGAAATAAATGATTTATCTTGGAAGAATCTCATTGTTCGGTTTCATTTTGTTTGTTTGTTTGTTTTGTTTTCCAAAGAAACCGTGCTCCTGCCCTTCTCTCAAGTGACACATCTGTTCTTGGGAGCCATATTGCATTATTTATGTGCCCTGGTACACTCAGGAGTCACGGGGGCATGTGTCGTTCCCAGTTACTTCTGTATAAACCCAAGAACAGAATGCAGTCTTGAGCTCAACATTTGACATGAAAGGCTCCCAAATGCAAGTGTGAACCTTTGCTGCCTTGCCCTTCCATAGGTTTACTTTAAAACGGGTAAGACCTTGAAAACACATGTGCATTTTCATCCAAACTTGTTGACATTTCTGGGAAGAACGTTTCCCCAGGATCTTCATTATGGACTGGTGAGGTTTGCTCATCCCGAGCCTCCGCAATGCTAGGTAGTATGATGTGTTGAAAAGGGGCTTATAGTGGAAGTCTGGCCCAAAGCAATTGGCTTTGAGCTACTTGGCAGTCCTTTCTTTTGATGGAGTGCTGGTGAACACAAAGGCTCAGAGGGTGAGCTCCCCACTAGCTCCTTCTCCCTCCCTTCCGACTCACCATGAGGTCAGCCAAGCCAGGGCTTTTTTGTGCTGTGCACACTATACTTTCCTTCCTCTCCTCGGGATTTGTACCTGCATCGTACAGTTCTGCTGGCATCTTCTGAAGGATCTGTAAAGCCTTCTCCCGGCCCGGTTTGGGTCCAGATGTCAGGTCTGCTTGTCTGCCTCTAGGATAACAGGCTGGCCGTGTATTTGAAGCACTGCTGAGATATGCTGTTAATTAAGAGAAGTCATTTTCTTATCCTGCTTCTGTTGTATGTCTCCTCCCAAAAGCCACTCTGGAGGAGATTCAGTGAGGAAAAGGTAGGGTGAGCAATTAAAGAATGTGATGTAAGCTACAAATGTGTTTCCTTTCCTGGCACAGTCACCACCAGTCACCACTCATCCTCCTACAAGTCCAAGTCCTCCAGCACCGTGACCTCCACCAGCGGTCACTCTTCAGGGAGCTCGTCTGGAGCCGTTGCCTATAGGCAGCAGCGACCAGGAGCACATTTCCAGCAGCAGCAGCCTCTTAATCTAAGTCAGGTAAGTCAACCAAGACAAATTTTGGTGGTGCGTCATCCAGCTGTAACCTACCACTCCTCCAGCATGGGCTGTCCAGTCTAACAATAGTTGGGCCCTATGTGGAGTTTGATCGACTTGTTTCAACTTCACTGCAGACCTTGACCTTTCAGCTCAGGCAGTAGAGGTAGTGCAGATCCCACCCCGGAGTGGGCTGGCGGTACTCTTACCCTGTGTTTTGAGGTCAGGTAATCTAACAGTGTGTGTGTGAATAATGTGAGAGAAAAGGTGCAGTGGCTCAGACACAAAGGAGTGGAGCAGGACCATGTAGGATGGACTGAATTCTCCTTAGCTATAGGTAACCATGGGGAGAGTATCTTCCAAGTGAAGGGAGTGCATCAGCCCGGCTGCGGGATTGGGAGAGAAGTCCCCGTCAGATGTGACAAGGCAAAGCAGAGCCTCTGTGCGTATACATGACCTCATGTAATGAGTTTGATCCATCCCGTGATAAACCTGGGCTGAGATCTGGGCAAATCTCATTACTTGGCAGCATGCAGTTCTCAAGATGTTTCATACTCCGTGATCAAAACACCCACGGAGCTCCCACGGAGCTTCAGTAAGTAAGTAATGCCCTTTTCGTGTACTGCACGTGGGGCCTCTCTCTACTCTGGGCTGAGGTAATGAGAGTAGGGAAGTGACAGCACAGTTACCAACATTTCCAGAAGAGAAAGTCTGGAGAGCTCAGAGGACAGTGCTGGTTTGCAGCCAGAGCTGGATATAAGCAGAACTGTTGGTTGGTTTGTTTGGGGTTAAGTAATTTGGGGGAAAAGAATGTCCCCTCCCCCTCAAAATGCAGTTGAAATTTAAAAATTCAAACACACTTGAAATGAAAGTGAGTGAAAATGGAGGAAGTGGGCGAGATGCTGTTTCCAATAGTGGGGGAGGAGTGTGGCTGCCGCATTTCAGACCACAAGGACAGCGTAGGGAGTGCTTACAAAGAAGATGAGAAGGCTTGGAAGAATAGAAGGAAATAACATGAAGCATTGCCCTTCTTGCCTTCTACTTTATTGGTTATTTAATACTCTGACTACAAATGACCAGGAAAACTCCTTGACATTATTGTGCAGTGCAAAAAAAACCTTAGAAAATCCCTGGAAAAGTACATTGCTCCTGTCCCACCGCAAGAAAATTGCCTGTGGGCAAGTAATTATAGCTGATTACATGAGGGTACCAGGCACCTGCAGGATCTGATCGAGCCAAGGGTTTTATCTTTAAAAAATAAAGCAGTTATTTTACTAACTGAGGAAATGATAACCGCAAAGACCCAAACTGAGCAAAAATAAGTTGCCTGTTCCAGGCATAGTTAGGCAACTTCATTCCCCTGAGCTATCGGCGCACCACATTTTGTCAGCAGAGAGTTCACTAACAAAAGCCGTGTGTTGTGTGAGTGACTGGACTTGTGGAAGATGTTCTTAGGAGCTGGGCATCCAAGGTTGGGTCTTCATGTTAGCTGTGCCAGCAGGTCGTAGCTCAAAGTAGGGGACTCCGTTGTCCTTTTGGGGGCCATTTTGGTGAATGTATGAAACTACAGGGTCTTCCTAGGCTTGGGAGGGACCCTTTGCCATCACCCGTGTCCAAGGGAAGACTGGTGGTGCTGAGGGTGTCAGGAGGAGCGCGAGGGACTTTCCTGAGGCCGTCCCGCTGTCACAGGGAGGCTCCCAGGCACCACTGAGGAGGTAGAGAGCCGTCTCTTGTCTTGTAACCGCTTATCACTGTTGCTGTCTTTATCCAGGCCCAGCAGCACATCACGACCGATCGCACAGGGAGTCACCGGAGACAGCAAGCCTACTCTTTCCCGCACAATAGTCCCAGCCATGGTACAGTTCATCCTCACTTGGCCGCGGCTGCTGCTGCTCACCTGCCCACCCAACCCCACCTCTACACATACACCGCCCCTGCCGCCCTGGGCTCCACGGGCACCGTCGCACACCTGGTGGCCTCCCAAGGGTCTGCGCGGCACGCCGTGCAGCACACCACCTACCCCGCCAGCATCGTCCACCAGGTCCCTGTCAGCATGGGCCCGCGGGTTCTGCCCTCACCCACCATCCACCCGAGCCAGTACCAGGCTCAGTTTGCCCATCAGACCTATATCAGTGCTTCTCCAGCCTCCACAGTCTACACTGGATACCCACTGAGCCCCACCAAGGTCAACCAGTACCCTTACATCTAAACACTGGAATAAGGAGCGAGAGACGCACCCATCCCGGGGGAGTGAGGCGGCTGCTTTTGTACTGAAGAACATGACAAACTAACAATGCAATGGGAGGCTCGCGTGAAACTTGAACGAAGGAGACTTTAAGGAAGAAACGAAAAAGAGGAAAGAAGGGGGAGAACCAATTCTACACTTTTTATTTAAAAAAAAAAAAAAGAAAATTGAAAAAAAGAACAGAAAAAAAACCACAAAAAAACAACCATTCTGCACCAAACTAGAGAGAGAGAAGCAGAAGGACCCTCCAGCGGGTCCTGTCTTGAAGAACTTCACCAATAGACTTTAAAAGGTTATTTTCATCCAATAGTGAGCTACATTTAGAAATTTGTTGTCCAGAACACCTAAAATGAAATCCATTAGGTTTTTAATCCAATAGGTATATGGATTAGGGATTTATCCAGCATTTCAAAGGGTTTATGCCACGTCTTCGCAGTGGTCTCTGTATCCCAAAGCATACATAATGTTTTGGGTTTTTCTTCTGGAAATAGAAAGTGGGTAAGGGAGGCTGAGGGAGGAGGAGAAAATGTTGTCCCAGTGCTCTAAATTCGGATCTAGCACTGCTATGCTTAAGAACACGTGGGCAAAACAGGCCACGCAGCACTGGTCGAGAGCAAAGGGGATGTTTCTCCCTTTCCTTGAACACACTGGATAAATCCCTGAGAAATGCTATTCCTAAACGAGATCTCATTAATGACGTATGTTGGATTTCAGTTGCGTTTCATTTTATTTTATTTGGAAAGTTTCCTATTCAATCCCTAGCCATTCTAGTATAGGAGGATACATTTTAGCTGCCCCCCCCTCCCCCCCCGCCCCTGGTAGAATGTAGCACTATACAGGTCATACGCCGTTTTTACTATTTTGTGTTGAACTTCAACGATACCAATAGACTATTCCTCAATGTGATTGCACAAAGAAAAGTGATATAACATAGGCATGTAACAAATGTGATTGTCCAGGTATGTACGTGTGTGTGTGCGTGCGTGCGTGTGTGTGCAGATGCTGCCTTCTCTCTGTGGTGTGTTCCTCGGCACAGCCATTACAACTGTCACAGTCTTAGTTTTACATCATTCCCTCGTAGTGCCTTACCGAACTACAGACGCGGTTTAAGGGTTTACTTCCACTGGTACTCCTAGAAACTGACTGAGGCTAGTTGGAATTTACTCTCAGCTCTTTTTCTTTTTTTTTTGGGTTATTATTGCCGATTTTCTTCTTCTGCTGGTGGTGTTTTGGGTTTTTTTTTCCCACGTCGTCAATCTTAGCTCACTTGGCGAGGTGTTGGGGAGGCTCGTTGGGGTTGGAAGTGCGTCTAACTGGGTGTTTTGTCGAGCACTGGATGGGCTGGAAGTGACCAGGTCGGTTGTGAGACCCAGGGTGACTCCCAGAGGGTCTGGGGATTCATTTGTGGACTGGTCTGTTTCTATCCTGTTGAAATAGCAGGTTTCCTCCCCAGAAACTGAATTCTCATTCTGCTGTTTGCTGACATTCTCGGTGGACTGGGAGGACAGCGACCTCCCAGGTTATCAGGTTGTCCCAGTTGTGTGTCTGAAACGGGAACAAAACTTTAGCCCATGAAAGGGGGAAACGCTAGTTGTTGCCAACATCTCTCACTACCGCTGTTGATGGGAGGGGGCCGGCAAAGGGCTGGAGTCCCAAAGCAAGCACGAGAAATTCCAGTTGAGAGAGTCAAACTCAGGTTTCTTAAGTGAAAAGAGTATTGTAATACATCGGGCCTTACCCACTCTGTCGTAGCTGTGACAGTGTGCGCTTCCCCTCCTCCCTTCTCACCTACGCCCCGAAGAGTGACCCTGGAACCGGAGAGCACAGTGGTCCTGTGGGTCCTCCACGCTGAGGAACGCTACGTGGTCATCTTGTTTTCTGACAGGTTTCTAAAGAGAGCCTTTCCTATAGTTGGGTTTGGTTCAGAGGGGAGTTTCGCTGGTTACGGCAGTTGCACTGGTGCATCGATATTTGGAAGTGTCTCTAGAGTACCTATGTCTGCAGATGGCCTGGGGAGGAAGGAGAGAAGAGAGTGTGATAGGACGTTTCCATGTTTTCATGAAAGCTGAAGTCTACGTGGCTGCTCGGTTCCACTCTATGTTTCCCTGTAACTAGAGCATGAAGTATTCGTGTATTTCACAAGGTGCTGGAAAAGAGCAGGTTCGTCGGCAGGGTGGCGAGGGATGGGTTCCCTGGGTGGCAGTAAGGAAGGAACTTCTCTCACGTGGGAAAAGCTGACAGAAAGACAAGCACAAATATATTGTCTTGCGGTAAGTGCTTGGCTGGTCTGGAAGAAGAAGGGATCCCGCTATGCATAGGCTGTTCAACAAGGCTGTTGTCTTCTGGCAAACCACCAAATAACCTCCCTGGTTGCCAGCTCTGGTTCCTGGGCTACCCTTGCACAGTTTTCTTCTCCTGCCTGTCTTTCATTCCAGCTCAATATACTGTAGATGAGGATGCGATCTCCCAGCAGCCTATGCACCTTACGCCCCCCTTCCTTTGGAAAGACAACACGTCCCCTTTCGTCTGAGGCAGGAAAATAAAGCCCTGCCCTCTCTGTTGCATTCCTCTCCTCTCCCACCAGTTCGGGAGCGAGAGCGTCATGCTGCTTGTGTCATGAAAAGGAAAGATAATGTTATTTTATTGTATGGTTGTTATGATTATGATTATTATTTTATTATTATTATATTTTACTCTGGGTTTTAATTGCACACGCATTCCTTAATCTTTGTGGGTTTTTTTCTCTTAGTATTGTTGTTATTGTTGTTAATTTTATTTCTCTTCATCAGTAGCATCAGAAGGGTTGCTATGTTTGTGAAAACTGCGGGAGGAAGGGGAAACAAGAATGTCCCGAGGATGAAAACTCTGCCTCTAACCTAAGGGGAGTGGGGCCGCTCTGTGAGAGCGGTTACAGCCTTGAGGGACAGGAGTTATCCTCCGTGACACATCTGCATTTCAGAATAAGTCCAGAAACATTCATTCAGAGACCAAAACCAAACAGCAACTAACGCAATGATCTATCAGGAGAGCTGGATCAAAGGCAGGTAAGCACCTTGGTGCGCTAGGATCCAGCCCACCATCGCTTTGTTTGATAGGAAGTTTCTATGAGATCAAGTCCTCAAGACCTATTTGTGCTCCAGGCCATGATCATTGGGCCCTTTCGATGAACCCAAGGTCACGCTACAATTAAGAGTTTGGTTTTCCTAAAGGAAAAAGCAGATAGATGGCTCTCCAGAAACAGGGCTATCGGAGGAGCCGCAGCGGAGGCGTGAGCGCGGCTCTCAGTCCCGTCACTGGATAAAGGACACTGGCGCGCACGGACGGCATTAGCTGGGTAAAGCACGGCCGCAGACGGGGCAGGGTTCCTCGCCTGCTCTTCCCCTCTCACTGAAGGTTGATCAGGTGTCCGCATGGCCAGGGTGCTTGGCTTGCATTTCCTTTTTTTGTCCCTGATGTAGATTTTCTCTTCTTTTATAATTATTTGTTGTGGAATTTTATTAAGCTATTCTGGTTGCTAGAGTTTAGGTATTTATATTTTCATTTGCATCGCCTGCTCTGTTAGAATGGGGAGAAGCAGTAACTGAATTCAAACTCCATAAAAAAATGATAGGACTTCAGCAGAGACTTGAAGTTAATCATGCACTCGAGTGCTTTGCTAAAGAACAGACTTAAACCCTTCAAATTAATTACTTGTTTATATGCTCCTCTGGCCTAGGACTGGAGAAGCGTGGAAGGTTGCAATCTCAATCACAGTAATGTTTTACTTGTATTAATTGCGTTTTCCCTGTGTACCCATCTGACCTGCTCTCCCATGTGGGCTCGCATCTGATTTTGGGGGGGCGTTTGGCAGCGGAGCTGTTAGAACGGCAGATGCTGGCAGCGAGGAGGGGCGCAGCGCGTGCCGGAGGAGCCACCTTTCATGTTGTCCATCCTGGAGTTGCTGACCTGCCAGCCATAGGTGGTCAGATGATCGCGGTGATGGGACGCTGTGATTGCAACAGCACAGCCATCAAAGTGCTTTGATGGTGCAACACTGCGTGTTTTCTGGTGGTTATGGGGGAGCTGAGCAACACCTCCTCCCTCACACCTGTATAAAGGCATAGTATGGGACGGTTAGTCACAGGGGAAACCCGGTCGTTTTAGCAGAAGCAGCAAAAGCTTTGCATGCTGTCGGTGCCACATACATGATACCAGCCACCTTGTTTTGCTCGTGAAGTCCTTTGGAGAGGAAATGGGATTGGCGTGGTTGGGTTGGTGTTCTTCGCGTGCGTGGGGTAAACGGCATGGAAACTTGAGAGGGGAGGCGAATGTTTAGAAACTGGAAGTTTTATGGGTGGGTTATGGCTGGCACAGTGAAAAAGCGGTCCCTTTCCCCATCATCTCGTCTTGCATTCTTCTCGTGC